ATTTTTTTTTTGACTGGTTTGAATGAAACATGCATTTTGTCAGAACAGGGAACCCTGTTGTATTCCTCAAGCTGTTAAGCTGGAGGTGAGTTTTGTTCCAAGGTTCAGCAAAATGCATTTTACCTGCAGACCCAGTCCATAATATTTTGATATACCTTCAAAATTTTTTCCCATACAATCTTTTTCGGGTTCTGTTATACTTTATGATGCAGATTACATAAAACTAAATCAAATATAGCTTATTGATTTGTTGACCCAGGATGATTCTGCATAAGGGGTGTAAGGAATGCAAGTTGAGTAACAAACATGTCACTGACATTCTACATTATTTTGGACAGCTCAGTAAAATCAGTAAAATGGTACACTTTTAAGTACGAATTTATTAGGAAGCAATTTTCAAAGGTATACTACTCATGATACTGTAAACATACTTTTGTTAGCAGGATAGTTATTTTGTAGAATCAAAATTCCTGTTCTATAATAATACTAATACAGTGTAATGATAATAATACTTTATTTAGAGAAGGTGGCCTGATTAGTGTGACACACCATTCTTCCCCAGGACCTTCTGACAGTAGAAAATTATATGGGTTTCTCTCATTGTCAATGTATGTCTTAAATAACTGGTGACTAATTCCTGCAATTCAATTGTGACTGCAGATGTAGCAAAAATTAATCTGATGTGGAGAAAAGTATGTCTACAGTATTTGAATGATATTAAAGTTATAATGTAGTGTTTTATCTTTCAGTCTAGGAGGCTGACTTCAGAAACCTTGCTTACTCCTTCAATAATATTCTTGTTTTTAAATATATATTCCTCTGTTTAAAAGTACATAGAATATATCTGTGAAACGTTATGTTCTTGACATTGTCACATTGTCAAGAACATTAAGTTTCACAGATGCCTTGAAGGATGAATTTCAATAAAAATTGCAACCTCTGCAAAGAAAATGAACAGAAACTGCAAATATTTAAATTGGAATTTTTCTAAGTCCAAGGGACATAACTCTGTCAAAAATTGTGCGATTGTATCCAAAACATAACTTGACCTAGATATACCTCTGATAAATCTGTACGCTAAATTTCATTTCAGTATGTGCAACGGTTGCGAAGAAAATGGACGGAAACTGCAAATAATTGAAATTTTTCTAAGTCCAAGGGCATAATAACTCTGTCAAAAATGGCGTGATTGTACCCAAAACAGAACTTGGCCTAGATATTCCTGTAATATATCAGTATACCAAATTTCATTTCAGTATGTGCAACGATTGCTAAGAAAATGAACGGAAACTGCAAATAATTGAAATTTTTTAAGTCCAAGGGGCATAACTCTGTCAAAAATGGCGCGATCGTATCCAAAACAGAATTTAACCTAGATATTCATGTGATATATCTGTATACCAAATTTCATTTCAGAATGTGCAACGGTTGCGAAGAAAATGAACGGAAACTAAGTGGACCGACAGACCGACCGACAGACAGCAGCAAAGCAATATGCCCTCCCTTCTTTGAAGGGGGGTATAACAAAAGTAAATCAAATATCATCACAAAGCTTTACAATTTGGACTTCTGAGCAGGATAACTCAAGAACTATATTCACCTTGACCTAGGTTGCACTTTTGTTTTTGATATGGCTTTTCACATTATTTAAACTATGTAGCAAACAAGTAAATCCTGGTTGCATTTAAAATTATTCTTTATGCAGATACTATGGAAGAAATCTGTGAAAAAGCAGATAGGAAGTACATGTATGTATTGCTTTCATGGAGTGATGACATATGCAAAGCATTTACACATGTGGTATTCATAATTCTAATGTGTAAAAGTAAACTAATTTCAGTTATGAATAGACTGAACACATGTACCTGTGCAATTCAGCAGATCAGCAAATATCAATCAAGCGATTGTGATAAATTTAATTTATGCAAAATAAATTAATAAATTACAAAAAAAATTCCCAAAACAAAGCATTGTTAATTCTATTCATAATATAAAGCAGAATCTTATTTTTAGAGATTACAAAACACCCTGAAATGTGCTCCCTTGTCTTCTCAGAATGCTGCAACAAAAGAATTTTTTATCCTGAAACACAAAGATGCAATAAACATGTTTTTATTCACAAATAAATAATTACCTGAAGTACACTGACTCAACTTCTGTCTATAAGGTCAAAGTTCACAGTGTCAATCTTCTGAGCCAGCATTCTGTACTTACAGTTTCTGGATATATTTTCACATTAGTATATCTGTCTGTCATAAATAATAATGTTAAAGCAAAAATCTGAGAAAACCTGAAATAAATGTTATCTACAACAACGGTGACAGTTTGGGTAGTCATGGCAGAAAAAAAGCTCACACACAATTCATAAATCAACCCGATCTGTGTCCGAGATCAGATGGACAAACTCCCAACGATGCGACTTGATCAACACTTTTTTGGCTCCCACCATGAAGTGGAATTCTATTGTTAAAGTGTTACAAGTCTACACACATTGTCTCATCACAATGCAGAATGTAGGGGGCAGGAGGTGTAAGAAATAAAGCAGGGTAACCTAAGAATGTTTCCAAGTCACCCCAACTTTCTTTTCTGACCAGTTTAAGGAAGCCAGGAATCTTAAAAACCATGTTCTTACTCGTTTCTCCTTGGCCAAAAATAAATCAGCAAAGAATATGAAAAACAACATGGCCTGAATGTCAAAGTTCTTACTGACATCAGACTTTGGTGAATGTCAAAACGGTCGACATCCAGAAGGGAGATAATTTTTGCCAGGATGGAAAAATACTGAGTCGCGTTAAGTGTTCAAGCCTTAAGTGACAGCGGGATTGCTTTGGACATTTGTTACCAATGAACGAAATAAGCACCTGTCGGGAGTGAACTTCCAAGCACTGAGTTCGTTTTGCGTTTGTTTCAGTTTCTCTTGGCATTCTTCCATTTCCTTTGTCATCCTTTGAAAAACTAAGTTGACTGCAGGATCCAGATGCATTTTCTGTAGCTGGGCTTTGTTCTGTGTCTGTGACTGTTTAAATTCTTGGATTTGATTCTGTAAGAGTATGAAAAGGACTGTTGAATATCACTGGGGAACTTTTACACGAATAACTTGCATTTTTTATGAACATTTTCCCTTTGTTTCTAAATCTAATCATTTTCATTTTGTTCCACATTAAACATAATAAAAACTTGAGAGAACCCATTCGGATAAAAAAAGCTAGACTTAAGTGTCTGTGAGATAATTGTGAAAACCTGGCCCCGGGATCATGAAACTTCTTAAGCTTAAGTCAAAATCTTTATTTTATAATAAAATGTTGTAGAGGTCAAGCAGACCAAAATTATAATATTTTTCAAATATTGTTTCAGAGAGGTGTTGTTATCAGTAAATTTCTAAATAAATCCCTCAATCAATAAATATTTTATAGGCGATTGAAAATCTGACTAAAGTGTAAGTTTGTTTCATGATCTTGGGGCCTGGATTCTTTGTTCTAAGATTACTTTTTATAACATTGGTGACTTACAATGTAATCCTGCAGCTCTTGTTCTTTGGTGGTCAATCTATGAACAAGTGTATTCTCTCTGCGTGCAGCATCTCTTTGATGCTGTTTTAACTTTGCTTCTACTTCTTTCAAATCTTTATCATCTGAAATATTTTTTAAAACTATATGTGAAGGTTATTTAAATAAATTTTCTATTACAGCTTTCCTTTTCAAATTCTTTTCAATTATATATCAATGTGTACCTGTTAGTAATTAATTGCAAAAATGCAAGTCAAATAATAACTGTAGTTTATGCTTATTTTTTAAGTTAACAATATCATGCATTCACCTGTTTTCAAATTTCTCTGTTTTTCCTCCAACTGACGAATAGTTTTTTCTTGATCTTTGATTCTGTTTTAAATGAACAAAATTCAATTCTTATTCATGTTAAAAATGAACAGAACAGAAAATTAAATATTTTTGCGTATAATTCATCAGGAAAAAGTAAAGGAGAGAAAGAGTAAGAGCTTCTCACCTATTTATTAACTCTTCTTTCGATAACTCACTCAAATCAGCATCTGTTCTCGCCTGTGTGACAAAATAAATAATTTAGATATAAAAATTCACTGAATTAAACAGATTCAATTTGTTTATCTAAATAAATCCCCCCCCCCCAAAAAAAATCAACATCATGTCATTATTTCAATAATCTTACCCTTTTTGGAGAGGACGGAGACTCCATAGTGCAAGATCTATAATGAAAAACAACAAAAAAATATTTAACCTTGACTAAGCGACACTGTCATCTCACAAAAAAAAAAAACAATTTGACAAAAACTACCTTTGTGACAAATCTATTATGTCTGAAATAATTTCACCCAGGAAGTAATAAACCACATTTTCCAAAAATTGTAACTGATAAGTTAGTTTCATTTTCGTTATGACAATTTTGAGAAAAAATGCATTGGCTGGTTTAATCAATTTTTCGCAAAATAAGTGACACTGCAAAAACTAATGAACTGTAATCATTCTAAAACAAGATATGTACTGTAAAACATTTAGTGCCTTGCCCTTCTTATCTTCCTTGCGGCGCGCACCTACAACAAACGACTAAAAATGGCGTCTAAGCCACGCCTTTTGTTTTCACGAATTTATGCATAGTTTTATCTCAAACCAACCTAACTTGCAACTATTTAGCAATTTCAATATGTTATCTTTAGTACTGTAATCATTCATATGCTTACCTACGTATCCTTATCTATAAAATCAGTAAATCAATTTTGGCAATGATCAGTCGCTTTGACCAGGAGGCAGCCATATGTAATTACTGCGGAACTCTGGGAAATTGATTTCCAAAGGGAAATCTAGAAATATATCTGTAGGCCTATAACTATGCCAAGAATGTTTCTAGATATGTTTATTTTTGAAATTTTGGAAAATTATTCTATTATAATCTAATTTCAACCAGTATCGATCCATTTTAAGTATTTGCTTTTTTCTTTGAGAATATAAGGTGAAGGTCACATACAATTGACCTAGAAGTTTTGCAGAGAGTCGCAGAAATATGTTGTCTTCGAAGTTTTCTGTAGCAAAATGGTAATGTCATGATAAGAACTTGTGTTTGTTAATATATTGACATTTGTAGACAATGCATAATAAGAGTAATCTTTATGAAAATTAATATTTAAGGTTACAGACGCAGAATCAACATTAATTCAGTTTGTCCTGAACAAACAAGCGCGTCTTTCTGCTATATTTGTTTGATAGTGTAAATGAAAGTTTTTCATCTAAAGATAATATATAATACGAAATACTCTTCACCAAGAACAAGCGAAATAAATTTCAAAATGAAAAAAATACTGTTCTTTTTCTTAGTGCCCTCACAAAGTCAGCAAGTGCTCTAGGAGCAATGGCCATGAGGATGAAGCACACACTGCCCGACCTTCCATATGATTACAATGCCTTAGAGCCATTTATCTCAGCTGACATTATGAAACTTCATCACACAAAACATCACCAGACTTATGTCAACAATCTCAATGTAGCAGAGGAAAAACTTGCAGAAGCCATGCATAAGGGTAAGAAATGAGAAAAAATTTCAACTTTCACTCTTTGATATATATGCAATATTGAAGTCCGATGTAAACATACCATACAAATTTACTGATTAGATATTGTCCAATGACTCCAATCAGTTCCATAAATATGAATCCACTGTGATCCCATTTGGTGTTCATTATGTAACTAATGTTTTAAGAAAAAGAAAAGAGTATAAGAAAAGTATAAGGGTGTAGAGTATAATTGCCACACTTAAGAAGAAACATTTAGCAGTAATCAAGACAGATATCTTTTTTAAAAAAAAAAAAAAAGAATCACACCTCTGGCACTGTTTAGAGTCAAATTATATAAATAAAAGTTTCATTGTTGCCTGAAGTGTTTATCATATGGGTTTACTAGTAAGGACTAAAACAATTTTAATATGTTCTTCAACTGCTTGGATTGATAATGTGGTTTTCAATGTTAAAAAAGAAAATCTTTAAAAAACAAGTTTTTAACAGACAGGTGTAGAAATACTTGTGCTTATCAACACAATTCTAAGGAGTAGGGGACTTGCAGTGACAATGCACAGCAGTGACAACTTGAACATATTTGATTGTAGTTTGAGAAATACTCAGCTTGTTTGTTTTTCATCTAACATACTTTCAGGGGATGTAAACACAATCATTCTGAACATGTTGGATTGTAGTTTGAGAAACATTCAGCTTATGTTTTCATCTTAAATACTTTCAGGAGATGTCAACGGAATCATCCAGTTGCAGGCAGCCATTAGATTTAATGGAGGGGGCCATCTGAATCACAGTATTTTTTGGGAGACGCTCTCGCCCACAGGGGGAGGCGAACCAGAGGGCGCTCTCAAGGACTTGATCCTTGAGGAGTTTGTAACGTTTGATGCCATGAAGAAATCGATGACCGCTGCCTCTGTTGGAATTCAGGGGTCAGGCTGGGGCTGGCTAGGATATGATAAGCCTGCCCACTCACTAAGAATAGTCACTTGTGCCAATCAAGACCCTCTACAAGCCACTACTGGTAAGACTGCATGCACATGAACAAGGGATAATGTATCTCTATGTTACCTGAAAGCTGCAGACTTAATAAAAATAACTTTGACCTCTGTCTCTTTCTTATGTAAGTCCTTTCAATATGTACTAAGAACAGAAGTTATTCATAAAAAGCAGGCGTGTGCAAAACAGTGAATGAACAACAATTTTACAAAATACTTAAATCAGAGTTGATGTTCATATAACTGTAAAGGTAAAAATGGAGGGAGGTTGAGAGGAGGAAAGGGGAAAGCAAGAATCAAGAATTTAATTTTTGATACATAAACTATATATGATATTCAAGTACAGTCACATGATCACATTTTTCTAGACAAATTAATTTTGGGTTCTCTAGAAATAAAGAATGGGATTTGTTTGTTATGCCATTGAATGATGAGAGATTTTTGATGTCATTAAAAGAAAAATATTGAACAGTTTATAAAAGGGTGGGAAACAATGGCGACATTCACATTTTTCTAATCGCTAAGTGCATGCACAAGTGCTTTATATTATCTTGATCATTTTAGTTCAAGATAAATATTTCAATTACAAGTAATTTGAAATAATAATTTATTAATTTTCTGTCTTATTATTTTAGGTCTCATCCCCCTGTTTGGAATTGATGTCTGGGAGCATGCATACTATTTACAATATAAGAATGTCCGACCAGACTATGTGGATGCCATATGGCATATTGTCAACTGGAAAAGTGTCACAGAGCGCTTTAAGGCAGCATTGTAAACCATATTCCTAAAAGACAGTAGAGGAATGAATCCTCATTTGAACTGATTATATTTTTGGTGCATTTGATTGATTTAATATTACAGTAAAATACATGATGTACAATACAGTTGAACATGTTAAAGATAAAAAACTAATTGTGTTGAACAAAATTATGTTGCTAAGTTCTTGCACATGTGTTGACAGAATCAGGTTATGAATACATGTATTTTATTGTGTCTATGAATAAAAAACTTTTCTTTTTAATTTTTAATTTTTTTAAAAACAGTTTTAACAGTTGCATTCAACAAGTTACACGTTAATATAGAAACTTAATTGCAAAGGCTGGCTGATAAATTATGCCCATGATACACAGTCCTGTAAAATGCACAGAGAGGAGATTAGAGCATTGGTCTGTAGAGATGAAATAGTTTTCTGGTTCTTAACATTGTGATGGTTCTATGGTAGATTTCAGTGATACATCCCCCCCCCCAATTCATTGTGCTACCTTAGAGTCATTTTGTCAAGGTTAGGGTTAGGGTTAGGGATGGCATCATACAAGAATTTTACCAGGATCTGTACAAATACCATATAACACCCCCCCCCCCCCCCCCCCCAGCAATAATATTGAGTGGCCCATTTTTTGCTTCTCAAGGAAATTCCATTTGGGTGTGTACTCCAAAACTGAAATTTATAATTCAAGCATTGCACCTAAGTCATGGACAAAGATCATATGGGCACCAGTCTGCAGGACTTAAGAGTGAGCAGTCTGTCCTTTAGTCTTAAGGACAGATGATACAAACAAACTTTTGTCAAAAATTTTGAACGTAACAACTTGGGTCATGTTTTAATGAATAAAATATATAATTTTCACTGCATGGTTTTTAATTTTTTATTCAAAGTTGCACAAAAATGGAATTTGAAGTAAAAAATATTTCTATAGAATAATAAGGATGGTTTCAGAAGGATAGAATTTTGAACATCACAGAAGGTTTACAATTTATTTATATTCTAGAAATTTATTATTTGCATCATTTGCAATGAAATTAGATCAAAAAATATATACCAATCCAGACATCCCAATTTTTTGTTTGTATCATCTGTCCTTAAATCATGTGACAGCCTCTCTCTGAGCAAAATCATTTTCCAAAGCCTATTTTCTCTTCTTACCTAATCTTGCTCAATAACTTCATCCACAGAACTCGACCTGTAGAGAAAGTATGTGCATAGTAGATATCTTTCTATTGCATCGTTGTCAAGAGCATTTTTTTCTCAGACTCCCTTTGACTTCCTCTGGCTCACACTTTACCCATGGATAGAGTGCTTGTTGGTTACGTAATGCAGCGACCTTGAACCTTATTTTAAGTGATTGATCAAAGTCAGCATGCAGACCTCTATTCTGACAAAGTTATTTGACCTCTTGACCTTGGAGTTTGATCTTTTGCAGAAAAAATTCCAAATTTTCTATCTTGCATGGGCATGTTTTGAACAGTTGGTGCCAGGGCTGTCAACCTTTACATTTATATTTGATATGAATATTTATTATGACAAGAGCTTTCTTGGAAATGAATATTTTTGATGTTTTGACCTTGACCTTGGAGTTTGATCTATTTATAAAAAGAACTTGAATCTTGGCCCAATATTTTTTAACAGGCTTTTGTATTTCACAAGTGTTTTTCATGTGACAAGATCTTCCTGGGTACCATTAATTAGTTTTGAGACCTTGACCTTGGAGTTTGATCTACTTTTGAAAAACTTAAACCTTTGAACAGTTTTAACTAGGGCTTTTATATTTCACATTTGTATTTTATAATGTGACAAGGCCTTCTTGTTGGTACCATTATTTTGATTTTTTGACCTGGGAGTTTGACTCAATTTGATAGAAGTTTAACCTTGGCCATAACTTTAAAACAGTTGCCAATGGTGATTGGGCTTCATATTTTACAAGTATATTCACTGAGACAAGTTCTTTTGTTGGGTAACAATATTTCTGATCCTTTGACCTTCTCAGGAGTTTGATTTACATTCGAGAAACTTAAACCTTTGCCATTATAAAGCTTCCATACAGGGGCATTCTTGTTTTACAAGCACAAAAATGTCTGTTCTACTGCTCTAAGTACTGTAACCAGCTTTCATTTGTGAGCAAGAAATATCTGTGAGTTTAATTTCTTGACTTTCTTTCACTCACGGATATTTCTCAGCATGAACCAATTTCTAACCTTAGTGAATGAATTAAAACAAGAGGCCTGCAGGAGTATTATGTAACAACTAAATTCAGGTGTATGATGAAAAAGAGTGCCTCTTCCAAAATTGTGAATTTCATGACCCCAGGATCAGGAGTTCTTGAGTTAATTAAAGTGGAGTTCTGATTGTTTGTATAAAAAAATGCTCTAATTCTTTGAACACCTCCTCTGCCCCTGGATATTAAGACGATGAACTAAGTGCATAGTTATAGTAATGGAAGGGTGCCTATTTAATGTTTGCTTAAAACCAAGAATCCAGAAATATTTTTAAGAAATAATTCATTTTCACTGTATATTCAATAGAGCCTGCCCTATCACTGGAACCCATGACCCTGGGGCAATGAATTTAACAATTTTGGTAGAGGGTTCACTGCTAACTATTACAATTTTAACAGTTTGACTGCTTGAAGTCCAGAAGTGAAGAAGATTTATAAAGATTGTATTGATTTTTATGCTTTAAGTCCTACCCCTCAGGTCCCAGGGGGAGGGGGGGGGGCAGAGGTCATGAATTAATTTCACAATTTTTACTCCCCTTCACCCATAGATGTTTCATATACCAAATTTGGTTGAAACTGTTTCAGTGCAATGGTTCCAGAGAAGAAGCTGAAAATGCTCAAATATGTTGACACACGACAACAGAGGAAAACAGATAGCAATAGGTCAGTCGAGTATTTTAACCGAAGTGATCTAAAAATCTTTTCAAGAGTAGCAAACTGCGCGATTAGTCATATCTATTTGGAATTAAAGTGCTTCAACATAGATTCAATGTTGTTCAATTTATGAGACTGAGGGATGGGGCAGGGCTCACCAGGGTAACGTTCTTCACTAGAATCTCAATTGTTATACATATTGTGGCAATGCCCTATATTTTTTCTATACATTTCAATGTAAGAATTGGTTTCCTCATTGTGGCCCCTCCCTACCCCCGAGGATCATGATTTGAATAATTTAGAATGAACACTTCCCAATGTTGATTTCACATAAGTTTTTACTTTTTCTGGCTAAGTGGCTCTTGTGAAGATTTTAAAAGATATTTTTCCATATATTTCAGTGTAAAACTTTGATTCACTAATATGACCCTCCCTATCCATGAGGGTTATAATTTTAATGATTTAGAATCTACACTATCCCAGGATGCTTCCACTTATGTTTCAGATTCTCTGGCTCAATGGTTCTTGAAAGATTTTGTCCTATATTTCAATGTAAAATTTTGATTCCCCGTATAAATTGTGGCCCCTCCCAACCCCATGGAATCTTCATTTGAACAATGTAGAATCTACACTACCCCAGGATTGCTTCCAAATAAGTTTCAGCTTTTCTGTCCCAGTTTTTTTTTTTGGTAAGAAAAAGATTTTTTTAATGACCCCACCCTATTTTTGTCTTTTCTGGATTAGCTCCCCTTGTAAAGGGGCTTGGCCCATCATTTTAAAAATTTAATATCCCCTTCCCAAAAAATGCTCTCTACCAGCTTTAATTAAAATTTAGCCTAGTGGTTCTTAAGAAGTTGAAAATGTGAAAAGTTTACAGATGGACGGGTAGATGACAGACAGATGGAAAATAGACAATGGGTGATCAGAAAAACTCAAGCTTTCAGATCTGACGGGTGAGCTAATAAAAAATCTTTCAAGTGAGAAAAGCAAAGTAAAAATAATGCAGTTTAATTTATAAATATGAAAGCATCCTCAGCTTTTGTAGATTCAATACACGACCCCCTGGGAGTGGGTGAGTGAAACCACAATATGTGATAAAAATCTTGCATACAAATAAATAGTGAAAAAATCTGCTGAAGATCTACAGCAGGGCCATAGATAAACAGGTGAGCAATGTGGCCCATGGGCTTCTTGTCTTACCAGGGTAATTATCTCCCCTTGGAAGATGCATGCCTTTTCATTTGAACAAAATATCTCTTTCACCTATTGTCCTAGCTCACTCACAGTGCTAAGCAAGTTGAAATTACCCCTGTGGTTCTGGAGAAAAAGATGAAATTTTAATTTAATTATTGACACCAATGACAATGGCTACAGGAAATGGACAAAAGTCACTTGTGCTTTTGACTCAAGAGAGCTAATAACAACTAGAATTTTCAAATATATACCTGTCGAGATCATGAAAACAATCATTCTGGGAGTATTGCCTTAACAATACAAGTCCCCTACCTGCAAATGTAATCTGGTTCCCATTAAAAAATTGAAAACAACATAATTCTGACAAAAATCATTGAATCAGAACAAAAGGCAAACTTGATCCATAACTCGTCGAGGTAAAGTCACATCAATATCTGCAAGTAAAGTGCGGAAAATCTAGCTGGACAGACTAACAGACAGACCTAGGGATGGACAGACGTGAAAGAAACTACAGTCCCCTCCGGTTTCACTGGTATTGAGGACTAATAAGGTGTCATGTAAATTATTGATCTACAGAATCTATTGCAATGTTAAACTTTAAAATTGATCCCCCGTTTTGGCTCACCCTACCCCTGGGGCCATGGTTCAACAATTTAGATCTTTTAATTCACTTCATCAAGAAGCTTTCATAAGTTTTATTTTTTCTTGTCCCATGGTTCATCAAGGTTTTTAAATGACTACATCCAAATATTATCTGTCCTTAGAAGAGGGATTGGTCATACATTGTATTTGAATTATTTTTAATTTCCCCTTTAGCTAATGATGCTTTATGCCAACTTAGGTCAAAATTGGCCAAGTGGCTCATGACAAGTCAAAATGTGTACAGATGATGGAAAATGGGTTATCAGAAAAGCTCAACCTTTCAGCTCAGCATAGTCTACTGTTGCTCAACACTTTCCCTAGTTTGGGGGGAGGAATAATTTGAGCAGATATGAATCTACAGCTACATGACAATGTTTGAATTTCACAACAAAAATTTCAATCCTCCTTTACCTCCCACCAGGGCAAAAATAAAAACATAGGTAATCAGAGATTACAGAGCTCACCTCAACGAATGTTGTCTTTAAGTAAGGCAAAGTCATAAAATTACCCAACAAAAATGTACATCCAAAAATGCAAAATTTATGCAATTTTGATCTGATACTTTGGAATAGACCTATATAAAAACTTCAAACTAGTTCTTCATGTAAACAAAATTAAAGTCAAGCATCTGAAGCAAATTTGAGAGTTTTCATCCCGTGATGCATCATTCATTCAAGTTTGGTTTATATAAGCCTTATAGTTTCTTGGTAATAGACCTGCACCCAAAACGTTTACCTGGTCCATTATCTATAAAATGTATGTCGAAATCAGCATCCGAAGCACGTCTATTGGTGTGCATCCTCAGATGTATCATCCATGCAAGTTTGCTTAACATAGGGCTCATAGTTACTTGGAAGTGAAACCTGCATAAAAAAACTAACCTATTCACTCACCAGAAAATGTAGGTCAGATTCAGCATCCAAAGCTGGCCTGGTAGAATGCATCCTTAGATGTATCACCCATGCAAGTTTGGTCATTAAAGAGCTCATAGTAACTTGGAAACGAAACCTGCACCAAAAACTTTAACCTGTTCACTCAACCAGAAAATGTATGTCAGATTCAGCATCCGAAGCAAGTCTGGTAGTATGCATCCTGAGATGTGTCATCCATTATGTCCATGCAAGTTTGGTCATTATAGGGCTCATAGTAACTTGGAAATGAAACCTTTACCAAAAACTTTAACCTGTTCAAACATCCGGAAAATGTAGGTCAGATTCAGCATCCAGCAAGTCTGGTAGTATGAATCCTTAGATGTATCATCCACGCAAGTTTGGTCATTATAGTGCTCATAGTTACTTGGAAATGAAACCTGCACCAAAAACTTTAACCTGTTAAATCAACCTGAAAATGTATGTCAGATTCAGCATCCAAAGCAAGTCTGGTAGTATGCATCATCCATGCAAGTTTGGTCATTATAGGGCTCATAGTATCTTGAAAATGAAAACTGCACCAAAAACTTTAATCTGTTAACTCAACCGGAAAATGTAGGTCAGATTCAGCATCCGAAGCAAGCCTGGTAGTGTGCATCCTTAGATGTATCATCTTTGCAAGTTTGGTCCACATACGGCTTATAGTTACTTGGAAATGAAACTACACCAAAAACTGCACCAAAAATGTTAACCTGCTCCAAAAACATTAACCTGGTCATTCCTTTGCTGAAATTGCAGCATCTGAAACTTTGACTGGTACAATGAAACACACTAGAAGCATCTTCCATGCATGTCTAATCAATATAGGACATAGAAGTACTTAAAAAGAAAACTGCTCCAAAAAACTTAACCTTAACCTGGGACGCCGATGCCGACTGTATTACATAAGCTCCCCCAACTTCGTTGAGGTGAGCTAAAAAAATATATTTAAATCTACATCATCATATAATTTTTAATTTGTCTTTTCTTGCCCTGTGCTTCTGCAAAAAGTTTCAAATAACACAGTTGACAACAACAGCTGTACAGAACAAGATGTGTTTGTGAAACACTGATGCCCCCATATGGCAACTTATGGCAAGAGTTGAATTTTCTCAAATGCATGTCAAACTTCAAAGGTGAAGGTCAGAATTTGTTGGTACCCAAAGGAAGGTCTTGTTACAAGAAATACATCTGTGAAATATGAAAGCCTTAGTTGTAAGTTCAAAAGTTATGGCCAAGGTTAAAGTTTTATTTTTAAAAGTGAGTTAAACTCTAAGGTCAAGTTCAAAAATATTTAAACCCACTGAAAGATCTTGACACATTGAATACATATGTGTAGTATGTAAGCCCTACCTCTAACTGTTCAAAAGTTAGGGCTTAGATTAACGTGCAGTGTTTTCCCTTTATTTCAAAGTAAAGGGTTAGAGATAAGTTGTAACAGGCTAGGGGCTAAGGTTTATGAACAAAATCTCTTTGAACCTAACAACAATTTTTTATTTAAAAGCGGCATTTTTGTCAATTGAAGCGGTCAATTTGGCCGGTAGCCGGTTCTTAGGGAAAACACTGAACGTGTGGTATTTTATGGTAAAAGGAGGTCACACTCCAAGGTCAAGGGGTCAAATTCCATGGTTCCCAAAGAAAGGTCTTGTCACAAGGAATACATCTGTGAAGGATGATAGCCACAGCCCCACCCAATCAAAAGTTATGGACAAGGTTAAAGTTTTTGTAGACAGACAGATGGAGGGAGAGATGGACAAACATAACAAAAACCTTATATCCCCAAAACTTTGTTCACAGGGGCATAAAAAAAATTGATGGGGAACTGAAAAGTCCTTCATCAACTAACTGTAGCTGTAAGCCTTTTTTCTTTGTTTAGACAAAAGCAAGTATATAAGCAAATTAAATCAACAGAATGCTTTATTGAACACAAAAATAAAAATTCTTGAAAGAATTTGTTTGCGGTAGTTAAAGAATACAAGTGAATGGTACTTACAGAATATAAATGAAACCCTGTTTAATGCATCATGTACGAATTTTCAATAAACAAAAGATAAAAGTTAGAACAGCACAGCTTTATAAGGGACGATATTAAAATGTTCATACTTGTAAATTATCTTATTTCATTCAAGTAACATTTATATACTTTTGACTTTAAGGTGTTAATTTTCCTGCGGTGAATAAGTAGATGAAACAAATAGATGAAAAATCAACAAAGCATGGTAAAATAAAATGAAATGGACTAACAATAAAAAAAACTACTGAACTAGCACTACCAGTACTTGTTTAAGGGCACATCCAGACACTTAACATTATTTTCTCATCACAAAAATATCCTCCACTGTCCCCCATGCCCCCTCTCAAAAAAGTGATTTTTAAAGCAGGAAGATGACAAATTTGACATTTTGATGTTGATTTTGAAAAAATAATGTCAAGCATCTGTTTTATCATGATCATGCAAGTTGTAAAATGCATAAAAGAAAAGATTCAAAGTCTTGAATTTCACCAAACTCTGCTTTCGGTTGAAATCTAACTTCAATTGTTTTCTGTGAATTTCACATGGTAAATAAACGACATTTACATCTTGTAATATTTTCGGGATGCTTCGTCACAAGGTGATTACATTTATTACACCAATCTGATATCTACTTCAATTTTCCCTCATCTCTTTATGCCTTTCAATCCTTTACCACTACGCTGAATAAAAATACAACCTCCATACATGTAAATACCACAGTTTCTCTTCGTCTGGTCCATAATCATGTAGTCAAAACCCATTTATTACATCAATTTTCCCATGTCCCTTCATGCTTTCTTATCTCATACCATGCCAAAAACTAAATTCACTTTTTCAATACCACAGTTTCTCTACAAATCTGGTCCATAATCGTGCAGACACATCTCCTTATGCCCCTGTTTCCAATGTTCCTTCTGACACTCAGGTGAACAATATCTGGATAATCGGCATTTCCCGCAGTACAGAAACTTCTCCTTCTCCGTCTCAAGCTTCCGGCAGGCTGGTGATGAACAGAAAATGTACACTTCATAGAACTGTTCCAACTCCTCCAAAAGCTTCTCTTTTGGGTTCCAGTCTTCTGGCTTTAAGGAACTTGTCAGACTGTCATCAATGCACAACATGCGGACACGGTCGTGGTATTCAAATACATCCTCTACTCCATCCCAATCCACCTTGGACTTCTGAAGTTTAACCGCATACACATCCAGCTCATTAATAACATTAGATTTTGAGATGGTTCTTCGAGTATCTTTATCACCCAGCTGCAGTAAGGCTGCTAAGATTTTGGCACAATATGAAACAGCTTCGAGACAATAAATTCCAAATGCTCCTTGACGACATTTAATCTGCTGATACATGTGTCTGACTATCCCATGCTTCATGTATGGCACAACCAGTGATGATTTCCCTACAATAATCATTCTGTACAACACAATGAAGCCCTTCCTCACAAGTTCTGGAAATTCCCTCTGCTCCAGGGCTAGAAAAACAACAGGCAGAATTTCGTCTTTGTAAGAGTTAACCCTCTTGATGAGAGCCACTGTTGTTAAACACTCGCTGAATAATTCCATGACATGAAGAAGATGGCAGATAGTGTGTTTCTGACAGGATGCTTTTGGACTCTTAACTACCATATAGATAAGTTTATCTGCAGCCACCTCTCCAATACACTGTAGGACCTTCCAATAGTTTAGGAAGTGTTTAGTTTTGAAGCTGGATTTCATTTTCTGCAATGTCTCATAGACTTTGTTCATGTTCTTGTAGTCCCACTTATCAATGTATTTACAGACGTCCTCCACATAGCTTTCTATGCTTCTTGTTCCTGCCATGTCACCTTATTCTGAAACAAAAAAATTATCATTATCTTCTATGCAAAACTAAAGAACTTGTCTTAAATTAACAGGGGTTCAAAAATCCTCAAGCCCGACGTCCCGGACTAACAAATTCCGGATCCGGACTCGGCATTTAGAATTCGCCAAAGTCCTGGGACTTGGCTATGTTTCTTGTTTATCTTTTTTAATAAGTTAAAAAAATGATCGTAAAGCTAAAAATGAAGCAAATTCTCAAATGTATTAAGTAAAAAATGTGGGTTTGTGGGCGTTAAAATACCCATAAAACATTACGAACGTTTCGAAAATACAATCCGTCTTTTTATTTTCCGTTACGGTTAGACTCTTGTTTTACGCAATTCCTCATGTTTCCTCCTATATGACAAACGGCAATGAGTTTGTTAAATTTCGGTTTTAGCTGTGACTTACAGCACATTCTAATTTCTATTTATTGTAACAGATGGTTTATTCAGTAGTGAGTATTTGTAAAAGTTATTGTAATGTACAAGTAATCTATCAGTCAGGTATTGTGTTGAAATACTCATGTATGACTACATGACAGTTTATGGAGGAAAAATAAAACATATATTAATACATATAGTCTTTATTCATTCAATGCAACAAATGAAAATGAATTATAAGTTACATAAATTTAATGATGTATAGGTAAATATGGACTCTGAAATTTTTTCCTCGGACTTGCCTAAAATTTACTCCTCAAGTCCTGGACTTGACCATGACAAAAAAAATTTTGAACCCCTGATTAATAATCAAAAGTTCCATATTCTTTACCATTTATTTTACAATATTATTTTTATCATTTATTCAAAGCTCTCTGATTCGCTCAAACTTGATCACATGATTAAGTATATAACAGAATAAAAACTTGAGTTACTATTTAAAGAAACTGAAATGCATATCGACTTGATGTTTCTTAAAATGGAAAAAACAAAAATAGTACTGATTTAACAATTATAGCTAATACAGTGTGTGACTTGATGTTTTTGAAAAAATATATATATACTTCAACTTGTAATAATATTTTTAATGTTTTATAATTGATGCGACGTAGCAAATGAATTAGGAACTACTTTATATTAAAACATATCAGATATGTTTTTCAAAAGAATTAATTACATATAATCAAATAAATGAAGTATTTTGAATAAGCAAGTCCTCTAAATTACTCCATCAAAATAAAGAAAACACATTTACATAAAACAGCTTATTTTATTTTGATCTCTAGTCTAAGTGTTAAAGAGAGTAAACTTTTGTCTTTTCCCAATTATTTTCAAATTTGTTTTGTTAATCTTTGTAAAAAATGATATAACAAATGTAGCCCTTTGATGAGGTCGATCCATAGATATATTGACTTCACAGAAAAACATATCGACCTCGCACTTCATGCTCGGTGGATATGCTTTTCTGTGAAGTTGATACAATATCTATGGATTTTGTTTTGTTCTCTAGTCTAAGTGTTAAAGAGAGTAAACTTTTGTCTTTTCCCAATTATTTTCAAATTTATTTTGTTAATCTTTGTAAAAAATGATATAACAAATGTAGCCCTTTGATGAGGTCGATCCATAGATATATTGACTTAATTCACAGAAAAACATATCGACCTCGCACTTCATGCTCGGTGGATATGCTTTTCTGTGAAGTTGATACAATATCTATGGATCGACCTCATCAAAGGGCTGTATTTATATATTAGCTTCTGTATCATACTTATGGAGAATTCCAAGTCAGTACTTGTTATTCATGTAAAGGGAGCACACAAAAGTCGTGAAACACAATTTCCATTTGCCAGTACGTGCCATTCCTATTATGACAATTCTAATTAAATTGACATTCATCTTTCCATGACATTAAGTTGCCTTACAGTTGGTCACATGATAAAATTTCCTTGAAAGTAAAGTGCATGAGACATTTGGAAGCCGAAGGGCTAGACTAAACTGTCTATGATGTTAATTTTTTTTTTTTAAGGTTTACACTGTCTGGTCCAATGATTTTTTTGTTTTTTAATAATTTTTTTTTTAAAGAATACTGATCAGAAAAAAAATATTTTATAATTTATCAGAACTAAATAAACAACTGCCAGTAGGGCAGCAACACACACAATGCCCACCTTCCAAAGAAATATCTACGAAGTCATTATATATGATGAAAGGCTAATAGACATGACAGAATACAATGCTATGGAATAACCGACAATGAATATACGTATACATACAAACCATAAAATTATTCGTAGTTAGTAAGTCGTTAATGGTACATAAAACTTTGACGACGATGGATGATGTTTTGTTGCTGCTGTAAACCGGAAGTCAGGATATCAAATGTCCATCTTGGCGGGAAAGGAAGAGTTGGCGGATTCAAATTTTTCCAAGAAACGCATGGCTTCGAAAATATTGACGATGGAGGTAACTGCCATTATTAAGGCGCCCAACTACATTTATATTTTTTTCTAGAAGAACAAAGTGAAATAAATTTAGACAACATCTAAAATATCAATTTACCATTATTCTCTTTAGAGGACTTTCGCCTAATTTTTTTTTCCATAACCAAATTTGAATTTGTTCATTTTTTTGTAAACAATGAACAATGACTTGTGTCTGGTTATTTTAAACGCATTTAAAATAAATTTCTTCTTTATGTTTCATAGAAAGATCTTAATTGTCACAATGAATACACTAACTATTCAAAAGTTAAGTCTAAGGTTAAAGCTAATTTTTTAAAGGGGGTAAACTCAAAGGTAAAAAGGTCAAAAATATTAACAATGCATATCTGCAGAAAGGCGAAGCACCAACTGCCCGAAAGTTAGGGGCAAAGTTAAAGTTTGGTAAATGTTTGAAAAAGTGGGTACTCCAAGGTCAAGAGGTCAAAATTGGTGGTGCTCAAATAAAGGTCTTGTCACAAGGAAAACACATGTGGTATTTACATGAAAGTCAAAGCTTCAATCAATCAAACTTATTGGCAGGTTAAAGTTTTTGAGGACAATCAGCTAAACAGACAGACGGATGGACAGGGCAAAAACTATATACCCCTGATTCACGCATGCAAATGCTGATGAACGTTTAAATTTTGTTTTTAAAAATTTAGTCATGATTGACGCTTGTAATTGGATTTCGTACTTTCAGTTTTCTCTGTGGAATTATACCCCGAGATTGATAAATTGCCTCCCACAGTGCACCTCAAACCTACATGAAATATGGAAATAATCTCAAAAGTCCATTCAAACAATACAAATCAGGAGCAGTGCAAACAGTGACCTCTGAAACATAAGAGGTGGGATCAGTTGCCATATAGAATAGAGCATCCCCTGCCGACGGCTACACCCACCGTGTACGTGCCCCTTGTCAGGATGATATAAAACAGAATCTAATTAAAGTAGTATCGGTGCATGATGAAAATTTGTCATAAATATATTTTGAATGAATCCATTTAGTTCTGTGTGCTTGTAAAGAGTTAAAAGTTGAATACACGTAAACACCACCCCGTCGCACTTTTACCCCGACACCCCCACCCCTACCCGACATTGCAGTGGCGGATTTAAGGGGGGCGCACCCGTCGCCCCCCCCTAAAATTGTCAAAGTTAACGTACATCACAGTTTCGTCTAGAAAATGTAAATATGTCTACTTGGTAGACCTCATTTTTACCCAACAAAATCTCTAGAATCCAGGAGCTTCCGGGGGCTTCACCCCCTGGGCCCCCACCAGGGCTTTGCCCTGGACCCACTGGATCCGCGCCTGCATTGAAATTGAAAATAAAAAGACTTTGTGTTACATATGTACTGCAATGGTTAAAATAGGAAAATCCGAACATCTTAAACTACTCCAACTTATTTCTATACAAATAGGTCTTATATAGGTCCAACTATGATGTTGCTGGTTTCCACTGAAGCATTAAAATCCTCTCACACATATATTCATTTATAAAGACTTTTATATTTTAACTATCCAAACATGCACTCCAGAGACAATATAATGCACGGGATATTGAAATAATAGTCCATAGCTTTGTCATCACATCCATTCATTACATATAGTGAAACTTTTAGCTACTAGTATACACTATAGTGTTAAAATAATTTAATGAGAATTGTTGCTGAACATAAAATGAGGATTATCGTATAGGCAACACAACCAATCAGGGATGGTATGTCTAATATACAGAAACATTTAGGAACAGGTTCAACTTAGATAAACCGTATTAAATTTTCTACATATAATGCTAAATTTCTGGGGGGTCGGGGGGGGGGGGGGTCGGCCTTCAATGAACATTTTAAATAGTAAAAAGTTATATGTTTGAAAAAAAGGGGGAGCCCCCCCCCCCCATTACAATTTAAAATGTTCATTGAAGGCCGACCCCCCCCCCCCCCCCCCGAAATGCTACGTGGCTACGTGCCTGTGGTGAAGTTTATCTTGGATTCGTGTACATTTTTAGCTCGCCTGTGCTTTTTTAATTAGAGATGTTCCTGAAGTGCATGTGTGGCAATGAAATATTAATTCGTTTTATTTTCAGGGTGGTCGTCGGGATTATTGGCCACAACCACGTCTATAGGTCAAGGTACTCTTTTAAAGAAGGGGGGCATACATGTATACGAAATCATTTAAAAAAACGAAACTGAACAAACCAGGAAAAAAACTTACTTAAATACATTTTTTGACAACAGATGTAAAATTATTTTCACTCTGTTACTCCCACACAAGGAATACACCTTTGAAATATGAAAACCATAGCGCCCTACCCACTCAAAATGTATTGCCTAAGTTAAAAGTTTTTGCGGGTAGACAGTTAGACGGGCAGACAGGGCAAAAACTATACACCCGAATCTTTGATTTTTTTATTGTATTAATGAATCTGATATTGAAGAGTACGGGATGTTCTGGCACAAAATTCATATTCAAAGACAAACTGTACATGTACTGATGTGTACTAAAGTTTGTGTTATATACCGGTATATGTATACTTGTATGTCAACACAAACAAGCAAATTCAAGGCATTGTGGTCCCCCGCTTTTGGTGTCTTTGTGGGTGAGTTGTCATTTTTATGACATATTGTGTGTAATATGAACACCCTATCATGTCATTTATTTAGAAATCATCACTGAGTTTCAAGGTCAAGGTCAAAGGGGTAAAGTTCTCGGTATGCAATGAAACGTCTTCTTACAAGGATTACATATGTGAAGTATGAAAACCCTAGCCCTTACAATTCAACAGTTATGGTCAAGATTAAAGTTTTTTCATAAGTACAAAAAAATCTCCAAGGTCATGGTCAAAAGGTCAAGGTTGTTGATATCAAATGAAAGGTGTTGTCACAAAGAATACATATGTGAAATATGAAAGTCCTAGTGTCTATTGCTAAAAAATTGTGACGGTAAAAGTTTTGGAAAAGTAGGTCAAATTCCAAGGTCAATGGGACAAAGTTCTTGGTATCCAATGAAAGGTCTTCTCACAAGAATTACATATATAAAGTATGAAAGCCCTAGCCCTTACCGTTCAAAAGTTATGATCAAAGTTAAAGTTTTTTGAAAATTTTTTTTCATTAGTACGGAGATCTCCAAGGTCAAGGTCAAAAGGTCAAAGTTGTTGGCATCTAATAAAAGGTCTTGTCACAAAGAATATATATGTGAAATAAGAAAGTCCTATTATCTACAATTTAGAAGTTATGGCCAAAGTAAAAGTTTGGAATTTTTGTGTAAAAGTGGGTCAAACAGTCAAATTCAGCCCTTACCGTTCAAAAGTTATGATCAAGGTTAAAGTTTTTTCATAAGTACGGAGATCTCCAAGGTTAAGGTCAAAAGGTAAAAGTTGTTGGTATCCAATAAAAGGTCTTGTCACAAAGAATATATATATGTGAAATATGAAAGTCCTATTTTCTACCATTCAGAAGTTAAGGCCAAAGTAAAAGTTTGGAATTTTTGTGTAAAAGTGAGTCAAACTCCAAGGTCAAGGTCAAACAGTCAAATTCGGTGATACCCAAAGAAAGGTCTTATCACAAGGAATACACAAGTGAAATATAAAAGACATAGCTCCACTAAAACAAAAGTTATGGGCAAGGTTAAAGTTTTTGTGACGGACTGACAGACGGACAGCTAGACAGACTGACGGACAGACGAATGAGATTTAATATCCCCTCGCTTTCGCGAAAGCGGGGGACAATCTCTTTATTATTATATTGATTACATTTATCTTGCATCATCATGTCAAGCTAGGTATGTTTTATAATGACCTACTAGTATTTTCTTTTGTTGTATGCTCACATTATTTTCTTGTATTTTCTATAGAAAAATAACTTACAAAGAGGGGACAGAGAAATGTCTAAATATGTTCCTCCTCATTTCGTTCGTCCGAATATAAATTTATTATTATACTCTTTATTTTGTACTTATAAATAAGTTTGAAAGAATAACAAACTCATAATTTATATATGTACGAGTATGTGCATGCACGTAGCAACAGGGCAACTTTTTTTTCAATTATAACTATTACTAGTGAAATATTCATTGAAAGAGTAGTTGCCCCCCCCCTCTCTTTGGCTTAAGTAAAGTGATATAAGGGTAATGTAGTAATTGTATGAAGAAAATTTCGATACTGAAAAAAGTTTGTGGTGAAAGTTTCCAGTCCTAATCCAACGTTCTGTGTGGGCGGTAGAGTGACTGTTTATAAGCACCTGCTACAGATCTAACACTCTGTCCATACATAAAGTACCCTTAAGGACAATAATAATAACCATAGACGTTTCTTAAACTCCTACACGTGCTTAAATAAAAAAAGCTAACAAATTAGTATACTCATTAACGAAGTTACCCCCCCCCCCCCCCGGCCGGCTATCTCTTACACTTCTATGATTTGCTTGCAAGTGGTTTTCAAATGACTCGTGAAATCGGTTTGGGGAGAAATTCAATATAGGCCTACTTATAAAATATTTGCATGCTTCGTCCCTATTCTTTTACTTTTTTTTATTTTTGAAGTTAATTGACATTGATATAACGAATTTATCCTCACTACTACCATTGCCCAAAAATTAAAATGCTTTGCCTGTTTTACGAACTTAGAATGAATAGTTTGTAAGTTTTATGAACTTAGAATGAATAGTTTTTAATTTTAAGATTCTATGATCCAGCTTTACTTAATGTACAAATGATATTGAAATGCTTATACGTATATTGTACAAACTGATTTATGCATATACGTTACCTATATGAACAGTATGGTTCTTGGTAATAAACAACACAATACTCTTTCCTTTATTTTCATTCATGTTCATTTGAATTCTTTGTTCCTGTCCCTTTTTTCTTTCCGTTCGAAGTTTACAGGGATGCTGAGTT